TAGATAGATAGTCAACATGCGAAAAGAAAAAAAAAAAGGCATGAGAAAAACATTGCTTTACAAACCTCAAGACTTAATAAAAAAAATGAGATATTTTGCATATGAAAGCATTGTAATGTTTACTGATAAACTGCCAAATTTCTTTAACATTCACTTACTAATTTAAAATTATAGCATGAAAACTTTAACAAGCACAAAATGATTGCAAGGTCAGTCCCAGGGGCTTAGCTTGGGTTGAAATATTTAATTAAAAATAGGTAAAACAAAAATAACTTGTATCAGTTTTTAAACTTTTCCAAGCAAACTGGAGGGTTTAAATCATGTTTGTATTAGTATGTGATGCTGTAACCTTTGAGAAAGGCATAAGCTGAAATGTTGGGTTTGAATAAATCTTTTTATTTTTCTCGAGTGTGATTACTTACTTTTTTGTAAACAAAAATAACTTTTTATTATCAAGTTAAGCCATATAATATTCAGTGCTGAGGTAAGATGTTACAGCCAACTAATTTTTAGCCACACCATCACGGCTCATTTGTTTTTTGTTTTTGTTTTTCAAGTACAAACTTTTAGCTGATAGCTCTGTAATATCTTGAATGATTTGAGATCTAATTACAGTTTTGGATTCAAGAGGGCAAACCCTTTTGATTGATGTATTTGACCATACCCAAGGTCTCAGATTAATTTACTCTAATTCTGCTTAAAAGAATTTGAGGGTAGGCTGGTAGAGATCCTGATAAGTAATAAAATTGAATCGGGTATACCCGCACCCCACGCCTGATATTGCTAGAGCACAAAAAAATATAGCTAATAAAAAGGAAAAAAATGGTCTCTTAAGATTAATTTACTCTAATCCTGCCTAAAAGAATTTCAAGTGCTACAGCTATTCAGTATTCTCTCTTGTTTCTAAATGGATTTTTAGTTTCTATTAGTTTTTTTAGCATTGATTTTACTAATAGAGAAGTGTTATAAAATATTAATATCAGTTTTTATTTTTTTAGAATTATAATACCATGATGTTATGATTTTTCCTATTCTTTAGATAATTAGTTTGTAAAAAACATTTTGTTGTTTAAACTGCTACAGTTAGCTTTGACTGTATTATTTTTGCACTTTGGTATGTAGGATGCAGAGATCATCACAGCAGAAACAGCTCCTGAAAGCTCCTGCATTTCTGTTGAAAGTATATCAGCAGAAAGTGTTGTGCCAAAAATATCAGCTGGAAGTTCCACAATACCAAAAGCTGTTAGTATGGAAGTTGGTGATATGGAGGAAAATCCACTGTCTTCAAGCATTGTTTATGTTACAACTGTAGCTGATGAAGCAGAAGAAACAGATGGAAAAGCTGTGACAGGTAAATTTGTACCTCCTTTAGTAATTATATCCTTTTTTATATCATATACACATAATTACCATGTTTGAAGTTTGTATTATACAGTGTTGAATCCATGGTATTCACATTAACAATGTCCTAAGTTACCATATAAACTTTTTAGTCTAACAGATTAGTTATATATTCTACACACATGCCATGGCAATAATAAGTACAGTTGAACTACATTTATCCATGTAATGCTTGGAGATGGCTTGAATGGGTAATGAAGAAAAACTTTAAGTTTAACATAACAGCAAATGTACAACGCTTCGACAAGGTTTTGTCATCATCAGGTACAAGGCCTACCATTTCTATGAATATGCTGTCCAAGTTGGACAAAACTAGCCATTAAACACACTATTCCTGTCAATGTCAAATTCTCTCAAAAACCCTGCCCTAAATTAAAATCGTTGCTAAACAAAATATTATTTAGAATCACACAATACTAACATCATTTACAAAATAACATGCAATAATT